ATTTTTGGATAAAATGTATTATTCTTACTTGATTTGAAGCTTTTGTGACTGCAGGAATTACTCTTTAGTTCTTTCGATAAAGTCACGTAGAAAGAAAATAAATTAAATAATAGAGTACGACGTTTCGATTGCAACACAAGCAACCGTCATCAGGTAGAACTAAATTTGAGAGAGAGACAAAACACAGACACAGAGACACACAGACACATACAATCAGAGAGAGACAACACAGTGACACACAGCGAGGCACTCAACATAGACACACAGAGACCCAATGCCTCTGTGTCGAGGCCTTAGAGAGAGAGGGGGGGGCAGAGAGAGAGGTGGGTCTGCTGGGGCAGCTGCTGGAGCAGACAAATTTGCATGTCAATTAATCCACCTCGAAGCGACCGAGGGAAAGAAGATCGAATGGCCCTATGATAGCCTGGTAAATTTTTATTATTCTTGTAACAAACTAATAATTAGTTACAATTTTAATAAGCCTTTCATGAAAAACAAAAAAAATATTTGAAATTGCATGAAAATCCACGTAGCCTTCATAGCATTACACACAGTGTACAGAGTGTTAGGCATTAGGCACAGATTACCAAAACGATATGTAATATACTGGAGAAATCTGATGAGGTATAAAGCTCCTTTTCACAGATGTCCAGTAGGGACGGGTAAGAATGGTACAACCACAAACAGTACAACAATATGATACTAGTGCAAAATACAAGAAAGGTAAACAAATCACCCAAACAAATACAACTAAACCATCCCAATTCTACCAGGCAAATCGTGGAAAGAGGGGGTGTGTGGCCAGCACCACGCCTGGTCGCCTTTGCCTCCCCAGTGGCTATGTTTACACACCGCACCATGTACTCATTGGAGACCGAGGCAACCCAGGGCCGGTTCAGATAATCACCACTGGTGTTGGCAGTGAGCAGGAATCGAACCCGCGTTGCCGGGTTCGTAGTGCAGCACGCTAACCGCTACACTACCGCTGCTCCCCATTCACCCATAACCGTAACCCCTGAAATACACACGGCAGGGCTCACAGTGCTAACACAAGGCAAGTTACATCTCTGCATGGACAGCAGAACGATAGGAAGAGACTCTCACCCAACTTCCTCTAAGCCCTTGAATCACTCGGGACCCAGGCCTCCTTCACCTCCAAGCCGAGACTCCCAGTCCTAAGAACCCCGGACACCATCTAGAGCAAAGCATCTCCTGTTCGCCGTATTTAAACTTCTCGTCCTCCTCACTTTTTTCACTTGAGCAATGACGTGGTCGACTCACCCCCCCCACCCTCTCTTCCCTTGAGGGGGGGGGGGGCTGTCCATAAATAATTGAAGCAATTAAACAATTTAATTGCTCAGTTGTAATCGCTGGCGATTTGGGAGAGAGGTCACAGGTGTGTGGACCCCCGTGTATTCGGTCTTCACCCCCCAAAGCTATTAGCCGATAGCGCCTCCTCTAATTGATCACCGAAGGTGTGACCCCCCCTGAGTAATTCCACGCGGTCAACACGGGTAGAACAAGTTAGATCTTTACGGGCTCATCTCATGCCAAATATATAACAGCCCTAACGACGAGGTCGGTCCGTGTGTTCGGTGTCCTCTGGCTACAGGGGAAGTGGATTTCGGATCTATTTTGGGGGCTCAAAAGATTTGAGTTTGTGTTTGGTGTTTCTGGTCTCAGGTATTTAATCAGCTTTAACTTGCAAATTAATCTCAACACGTTCGTCAATAACGCTGCGTGTGTGAGGCCTTAAAAGGAACATAAATATAATAGGTGACGTTTCGAGCAACGTACTTTCTTCATAGCACGTAATTATATGAAGGGTCATTTCCCAAAGTGTCGCTCATTGTAATCGTTTCATTTAAAGGCCACACAGTATTGTTAACGAATGTGTTCGAGTTGTTTTTGTGCTTTGTGCACCACTGCGCACGTATCAGCATCACCACTAAATGATGTGCTTTCTTGATTTGAAGCTTTCGTGACTGGAGGAATCCATACTCTTTGGTTCCTTCGGTAAAGTCACGTAGGTATAAAATAAAATAAATCACGACGTTTCTGGCGCAACACAAGCGTCCATCATCAGGTGGGAAAGCCGGAGGTGGGAAAGCCCCACCTGATGATGGACGCTTGTGTTGCGCCCGAAACGTGATTTATTTTATTTTATACCTACGTGACTTTACTGAAAAAACCAAAGAGTATGATGTGCTTTGTATTAAAACTGGTCAGATCGTGACATCGCAGGACCATGAGAGATGGCTTAAGTATTTCAACCAGCGGTGAATCAATAATGGTTGATGACAATGATCCAAACCCATATTTTTTGGTAAATTATCTTTATTGATCCAACCACTGTGGGGGGGGGGGGGGGGGGGGGGTGAGGATGTATACTACTTCCGCGACAGGTGAGTGGTACAGAGTGGGATAGGCAGCTCGGAGAGACAACCAACGCGGACGTGTAGGACCGTAGCATTATGTGGTACGTGCATCAGATCCATTTTCTTCTGGGAAGGAAGGGGGAGGAGGGCATAGAGGGGGGCAGTCCGTCACATTTCAACTTCAATCAAGTAAACTCAGGGTCTCTGGAGTAGAATTCACGAGGGGGGCCCAGATCAGGGTGAACTCCCCTTCCATATTCCTCAGTTTCAGACTCAAGTGTTCTAAAGCCACTAGGGCGAATAGGGAGGTATGCCAGAGGGTGAATGAGGGGTCCCATGATTCTTCAAGGAGCTTAGGATGTTTTTTCTAACTGAAATGTTAAATGGTTGGAGAAGGATGTGTTGGTGTCTGGTGATACCTTGAGGTTTAAGGCCCAGGAGGAAGGATTCAATGCTGGGTAGTATCTCAGTACCACACATCACGTTGTACAGATCGGTTATTTATCATAGAATGTCCTGATGGTGGGACAGTCCCAGAAGGCGTGAATGTACATTTGAATGGTGCCCTGGGGGCACCTAGGGCAGTCTGGGGATATGGTCTAGGAGAATTTACACCTCCGTTGGTTAGTGAGATATGTTCCATGAAGGAACTTAAATGTAATCATCCTGAGAGGGAGGAATCTTAGACCTTGTCCAGAGGTTGTGCTAAATTTTTTTCCAAGACTCTGATGGGATCAGGTGGCCCATCGCCCCCTCCAAAAGTATCCTGGTCTTTGGTCTCACCTCGGTAGGGCCCGGAAGTAGGATTTGGTATGCCTCAAATATTTTATAGTGAGCCCTCTCCTCCGTCAGCCATACCCATCTCGTGGAGGGGATCATTCGGAGGTCAACATCCCTTGCCTTGTTCATAGAGTCCCTGATCTGGAGAAATTTGAAAAAAATCGCTATTAGGGATATCATGTCGCTTTCGAATTTTTTGGAGAGTATCCACCCCCACTGAGTCAGATAAAAGATCACCCACTCTCCTGATTCCTCTCTGAGATAAACCTATTAGAAGTAACTGTTGCAGTCAGAAGAACATAAAGGAGTCGAACATTTCAATGGGGGGGGGGGGGGGGGGGGGGGGTGGGAGGCTAGCCTCTGCATGGTGCCAAAAATAATCCCCCACTCTTCCAGATCGAAAGCCTTCTCTTCGTCGAGTGCAATGCGTACGCTTTCGTGCTTGACCTGGAGACAATATCAACCGAGTTAACCAAAGTTCGGATGTTGTCTGAGGAATCCCTGCCTTCGACAAACCCCGTCTGGGCAGGGCCAATGACCTCTGGAAGGGCTTTCTCAGGCACCATGCCAGGGTTTTAGCATACAACTTATAGTCTGCATTCAAGAGAGAGAGATGTGCCTGTAGCACTTGGTCTGGTTTACAGGGGATCTCAGTTTATGTATGATGGTGATTGTCACCTCTTCCATGAAGTCTGGGAGTTTCCCTTTCTGAACAGACTCGTTTAAAGTGTCAAGGAGGTGTATTAGCATCGGGGGGCCCAGGCTTCTGTAGAACTCCGATGGGAAGCTGCTGGAATCTGGGGCCTTCCCTGCAGGGGAGGAATCCAGGGCCTCCATGAGTTCAGGGAGCTTGATCATGGCTTCCATAGCTTCCCTTCAATCTGGGTGGATATGGGGTAGGGAAGTCCCAAGTAAGAATTTCTCTATGTCGGGGCTCGATGAAAGGTCCAACCGGTACAGGTCCTTGTAGAAGCTGCAGAACTTTTCATGAACTTCCACTGCCCTCGTCCTAAAGTGCCCATCAGTATTCTGGATCCCAGCAATGTATTTATGAGTTTCCTTGTGCTTGACCAGCTGGGCTAAGAGCTTGGTCGTGGAGAGAGAGGGGTCGTGAAACGGAATATTGGCCCTCAAAGAGGAGGGAGATTTGGTAATTTAACACTTGTCTAGTTCCAGATATAGTCTATTGACCTCCCCTTGAACCGCACGAGATTGGGTTGTCTTGAATAGGCTATGTTTCTCATTCAGCTTTTCCAGCTCTAGGATGTTTATAGTCTTTTGGCATCCCAGACCACTACACGGGAGGTTGGGGGGAATGATCTCAACTTTATTTCCGTGAAACTAGTGACCTCATTTCTGATTCTCGTTAATAGGCCCGAATCCTTTAATAATCTGGTGTCCAGGGACCATGTGCTATGGGATTCTTCAGTGTGGTCCAGAATAAACTGTGTAAGAACAGGACAGTGGTCACAAAGCTGTTGGTCAAGTATCCTTACTTTTGAGACCGAAGAGAGGACGTCTTGGGGATTAAGAAGTAATTGATTCTAGACAGGATCCTTTGGACCCGAGATACATAAGAGAAGTTGGGTGGAATTGCGGAGGTGGTGCGGGTGGGGGGGGGGGGCGATGAGTGGATATCACGTTGGTCCCAAGTATCCACCAAGGCTGCTGGTATGATGGCTCCGACGTCAAAGTCTCAGGGAAGATAGGGGGACCCACATGGCTGAGGTGCATGAGGCGAGGGGTTCACCAGCTGTCCCCACCGCCTCACTCTTTGTGCCATACCTAGGTGTGTCCCGGCGGGTCATGTTCTCTCCCCTGGTCTCCGTGTGGTCCCTGCAGCAGGTCCTGCATCTCCCTGTTGCTGGGGTTGGTGAAGTCTAGGTGTGGCCACAGACAGCCGCGCAAGTAACTGTGCGAAGGCTGCAAAGAGGTCATGGCAGCTCGCCACCTCTCGCCATCCCTCCTCGGCATGTGGCTGCCATGGATCAGCGCCTCTCTCCCCCGACTCCACAGCCGCCGCTCACGTGCCTGCGGGATCTCCGACCGAGATCGCGAATCCTGGGGCTGTCCGAGGGGTCCCGTCAACGTCGTCCTCCTCATCCGAAGATGCTACCGGTGGGTTCGTTTTACGTAGACTCTTAGACATCATGTCTAAACACTTCTGACACCACATGTAATGTAGGACTCCAGAGACAATAACTGTAGAGGCACCTTCTTTATTTATATTACTCATACTCACATTGCATGACTCACTGAGCACATAACGTAACGCTGACCGTCAAGCTCGACGGCGCTAACTAACTGGATAGCTGGCTGACTATCCAGCAGTGGTGACGTCGGGCGATGACAAGGACAACAGCCACAACAGAGACAACGAGGACGATTTCCATGGCGAGACGACCCTGATTCCCACAGACAGCCTCGAGCTTCCTCTCTTGCCCCCTTTCATGCTTCCAGCGGGGCCCGGCCCTGCCCTGGCCATGCCCCCCTTCTCGAACCTTCTAGCTGGTTCTGGGAGCTCAAAGATGGATCCCTTCCATGACCTTTGGCCCAGTTCTTATCACTTCTATGACCCTTGCCCCAGTTCTTCCCCTTGTGGACTTTCCCGTGTTTACTTTCTCCCCTTGGGTGGATAAACCCACAATTGCTACTTCTGGCCGCCAGTCGGCGCTGCTACACGACGTATGTATTCAGGTGTTATCGGTCAATTAATGAGTGCTTACATGTGGGAGGAAACCAGAGTAACCGGAGAAAACACCATGCCTGCGAGGGGGAAATGCTCTATGCCCGTGTAGTGACATCTCAGGCAGGGGCTAGGGGGTGGTCATGTGTCAGGGTGAGATCCTACGGAAAGAGTCGAGAAACGACAAGAGGTTTCTCGAAGGTGGTCGTGGCCAAGGGTGGGGCCAACCATGACCCGGGAGCATATAAACCAGGTCCCCACAGGAACTGGGGCTCTGTGTTGCTGTTGTCAACGGAAGATCTACAATATGCATTCTACGTCCAAGAGAAGTAGTCACCAACACGTGGACGAGGACCCAAGCCAGGGTCCTGTCTGCTGTAGCTACTCCCAGTAACTAGCGTAGTTAGCCTGGTGGTCCACCACCATAGGTTATCTGGTAAAGGGACAGTAACCCCTTTGTGTTAATATGTTGGTGTAAATGAATGTGTTGCCTCCAAGAATTACGTCTGCGATTCAGTTGAATCCACGACAACTGGTGTCGGAAGTGGCCAAAAGCATTGCTTTACTTAGCTAGCTGTTAGACTATGTCTACGCGCTGCAGACTACGTACCAGGACGTCGGACGATGAAGACGAAGATCTCATCCCGCAAACAGCCCCGGAGGAGGGAGATGAAGCGTTGCCGGTGGATTAGAGCACCGACCAGGCACGCGACTGCTCCACACCGATGGGGAGGGTGCTCTCGGCTGCACACGGCCACCTCGCAGAGCTCCTCCATGCCGCGGCGTCCATCCTCGCGGAGCTCCACATCATGGAGCCAGCGGTGGAAGCGGGAGCAACGGAGCCACGTGGCGACGAAGATCCCGCCGCCATTTCCGGCCAAGCGGAAACCTCCGTGGCGCAACCCGCGCTTGCAGCCGCCATCTTCTCCGAAGAGCGGAGCGCGGGACCTGCCAAATCCAAAGTTGCGTCAAAATCGCCGGTGGACATTCCATCTCTCCAGCAAAGACTTCCCTTCGTAAAATAATTTACAGCCGCCGGAGGCGACTGGGTGGCCTTCAAGCGGTGGTTCCTGACGAACGCCGACTTGGCAGGGTGGACGGAGGCGGAGGCGCTGATAGCGCTGCCCGCCGCCCTTGATGACGACACCCTGGCAGCGTTCCTTATCATCCCGCCATCGGAGAGTGCCACGTTGACTCAAGCCTTCGACCAAATGGCAGCCATTTACGAGCCACCGTCCAACGTACGCTACAAGTTCGCTACGCAAAAGAAAGGGGAAACCGAGACGCCCCCTTGCCTTCCGTAGCACACTTTTGGTGGTAGTGAAGGCTGCCTTTCCAAGAAAGGACCACGACGGAGTCGACTCGTTGGTTCTTGAGAGACTGCTAGCTTTGGCTAAGGACCTCAACATTGTTCTGCCAGCTGTAGACGACGATCTATCGTCCATCAGGGTTGCAAAATGTATTCAGGCTCACGATCTCCTGCAACGGCACAAGAGGTCGGTGGCGTGTTCCGTGTCCCGCGAGGGGCCGAATACACCTGAAGATGTGGAGCCCGTCCCAGCCTGCGCATTGACCCAGAGTGGAGGCGGGCGAGGGGACGGCATGGTGTGGCTGGCGGACGACCAGCGACGGTGGAAGACATCTCCTCATTCCGAGAGCAGCCCTGTCATGTGCTACAGCTGCGGCCTGCCGGGATACGTCTCGTCGGGCTGCCGCGTACCACGACGATGCCTCCCCGGACCACCGCCATCATCCGCCCGACCGTCCTTCACTCCACTGCACCCTAAGACGAGTGGCGACACATTCCACACTCGGCCCCTGAATCCATCTGACCCATCTCGTGCGTTCGGGTTTTGTGCCGGTCGCGGGTCGGGGCGGGAGGATTTTGATGTTGATCGGGCCGGCTGGACGCTCCGACCGGGTCATTGGTTGGAGCTCGCCAATAGAGTGGTAGCCACGACTGCAGGTTCATCCACTGTTGTTGGACTGATAGAAGGGGTGGAGATTAGGATGCTCGTTGACACCGGTGCATCAGCGACCATCATTTCAGAATTTATTTATAATATCTTACCCCGTAAATGTCGTTCCTTATTGGGAAAATAACAGTGGAGGTGTGCATTGCGGATGTTAAATTGACAGGATAGGTCCTTGTTTCGACATCCCTTGCTATTCCTTGCTTGCTCAGGACTGATTTTTTGGGATGAATGCCCCTGAAAATTTTTATTGACCAGGGGTGCCTGGAATTACCATCCGGCCATTGAATGTCATTTTTGCCTTCTCCCACCCGCCTATACACGGCTAATGCTACCGTGCAAGGACTTGCATGTAGGATGGTGAGGATTCCCCCCCGGCACGCAAATGTTGGTTCCCCTATCATTGCAGAAACCACTAGACCGGGAGTTGACGGCGAGAGGAATTCTCTTGGGGGCGCAGATGTTGGTATCCAACGATCAGGAACCCTTCATTGAGGTCCTTAACGCAGGGTTAGACACGTCAGTCATCCAAGAAGGTACCATGCTAGCTCATGCGTCGCCAGCGCTTCCTGAGGGAAGCATTGTTGGCAATGTGCGTGCCGCGTCGAATGTGCGGCCGCACCAGAAACTTGATGAGGGGTGGATAGAGAAGCTGTGTTCCGAAAATGTGGTATTGTCCGGGTGTTTTAAGTAAAGGGAAATTTGATATTGGACGCACTATGCTTTTAAGTCATCACATTGATACGGGTGACGCCGCTCCCATCCAGCAGAATTCCTACCGGGGAGCCCTGCGGAAAAATTACACGTTCCGCTGGCGGTTGACGAAATGTTAGCCGCGGACATTATTTCACCGTCCCCCAGCCCATGGGGAGCACCAATTGTACCTGTTAAAAAGCACAATGGTAGCTTGCGCTTTTGTGTTGACTTCCGTAAGCTTAATAAGGTCTCTGTCGCTGATGTGTACCCTTTACCTCGAATGGATGACTCACTGGATGCTCTAGTCAGAGTGCGGTTCTTTTCCACTCTCGATCTCCTATCCGGGTTCTGGCAGTTACCACTAGACGAAGCCTCTAAGCCCAAGACAGCCTTTCGTACACCACAAGGCTTGTTCGAATTCAATCGGCTTCCAATGGGTCTTCATTCCGCGCCGATCACGTTCCAGCAATTGATGGAACTGGTCCTGGCTGGTCTCCAGTGGGACTCGTGCTTGATATACCTGCAACGGCTACGCGCTGTTTTTCTAAAAATGCGTGCGGCCAACCTGAAATTTAAATCGCAGAAATGTCACTTCCTCCAGAAATTGGCCACATAGTGAGTGAATCGGGTATTGCGACTGACCCGGACAAAACCGCGTGTGTTCGAACTTGGCCGACCCTCATGTCGGTGGGGGAGGTATGCAGTTTCATAGGATTCGCGTCCTATTACCACCGTTTTGTCCCCGGGTTTGCTACGATCGCTAAGCCTCTCCACGCCTTGATGGCTAAGGGTCATAAATTCCATTGGGGGGAGGAGGAGGCCGCATTTGTTGCGCTCCGGGATGGCTTGGTGAATGCCACTCCCCACCACTACCCCGATTTTTCATTGCCGTTTGTCCTTTATACAGATGCTAGTAACACCGGAATTGGAGCTGTTCTGTCCCAAGTTGTCAATGGCATCGAGAGTGTTGTCGCATACGGCAGCAGGGTGCTGTCTCCGGCCGAACAACGGTATTGTGTCACACGCTGAGAACTGTTGGCCATTGTGTTTTTTGTGCAACAGTATCGTCCCTATTTGTATAGTAGACACTTTGAGGTGCGCTCTAACCACGCAGCGCTACAATACGCGCTGCGTGCTGATCAGCCGTCTGGCCAACTTTCACGCTGGTTGAAGGTCCTCCAGGATTACTCCTTTAAGGTTACCTATCGCAAGGGCTCCCGTCACACGAACGCTGACGCGCTGTCGCGATTACCAACGAGCGGCGGGTGCGCCTGCTTTTCAGGGGCTCTGGGCCCTGTAAGCCGGCTGCTGAGCCCTCATCCCCTCCCCTCGCGGCGTTGGCCGACTCGGTAACATCTGAGTTGGCCAAGGGTCCGGCGGTGCGTGACACTGTTATTGGGTTGGACCATGCAGAATGGGGGTGCCTCCAGGAGGAGGACTCCTCCCTGCTTAAATTGCCACGCCGTGTCAGAGAATCTGAGGGGGGACTGCTCATGCATTGGGATGGAGGTTTGCACCAATACAACATTGTTGTGCCCACTGCCCTACGGGGCAAGGTCATCTGTACGGTACACGAGCACTTGTTGCACCTAGTTTTGCATAAGACGCTGGCCACACTTAAGTTGGACTTCTTCTGGCCTGACATGGCTGAGGATGTCGCTAATTTGTTGAAAGGGTGTGTGCAGTGCGCGCGGCGGAAGCCGCCGGTGAAACCCTGTTGTCCACCATTACAATTAATTCAGGTTTCCCGCGTGAATGAGTTGGTTGCGCTTGACATCCTTGGTCCGTTTCCCACTACTCCTCGTGGGAATAAGTACTTGCTGGTGGGAGTAGAGTATTTTTCACGATGGCCTGTGGCCTAGCCGCTCCCCAACCAGTCAGCGGCGACGATCACTGAGGCATTCCTCAATGGCTATGTAATCGGGTGCTCCCGAACGTCTTCTGACTGACCAGGGCAAAAATGTTTCTTCAAAGATGTTGCGGGAGGTGTGCAATTTGTTGGGAACAAAGAAAGTACGCACGTCACCGTACCACCCGCAAACGGATGGCATGGTGGAGCGCCGATGTAGGGACGTAAGTAGCGTCCCTACGGGGTGTATGCTGTAAGCACCCATGATTTATGCGAGCGAGTGCACGTACCTCTGCAGGGAGTTGACGGAGACATTGCGGGAAGCGGGCCCTGCTCGGCGGGGTCCCGTCGCTAGAAGAGAGAGGGGACGTGCCGGCTCAGGGGAGTTAAGGAGGCCCGGAAATGAGGGCCCGAGGACATGTGATGCTGGCTCCTGTTCCGTCTCGAGAGACTGAGCAGGGGCATGGCCGGTGGTGGCATGAGGCCAGGCTCGGGGGAGGAGAAGAGGAACGGGGGCGAAGCAGAGGACGGAGTCCAGCGTGGAAAGCAATCGGTGCGGCGGCGCAGGGAGCCCGGGGAATTGGCTATAGGGGACTGAATTATAAGGGGACCCTTTCCAAGGGGTCTAGTGGAATCCCCAAAGTGTTGTGTTATGCCTAGCCATAGAAGTTATAATAAATTGTGGTGCCTCCAGATCTCTGTGTGTGCCTCGTCGGATACACACTACACGTCCATGTTGAGCCACCAGGTCAGCGAGTCCCAACTCGACTGGGATTTGCACATTCCCAGAGTCCTATCTGCATATAGGATGGCCCCTCACACATCCCGCGCCCGACAAAGCTAAATCTAAAAATTCTGACTCTGTGCGTTTCACCCTTCAAAAGCTTTCAGATGTGTGGGAAGCCTCTAGGGTAAATTCCGATTTGCGTCAATTGGCTAATGAGCGGATGAGGGGTTCCCGTGTTTCTACACATGAGTGGGCACCTGGGGACAGAGCCTGGTTGCACTGTCCACAGGTACCGGTGGGTACGTCGCCCAAATTGTTCAAACCTTGGAGAGGGCCGGTTGATGTCATTTGGGCCATTCGGCCACAGTGTGTCCAGATCCGCTTAGGGCGGCGGAGTTGGTTTGTACATCCCTCAGGCCTCAAGCCTTTCATCGTGCTGCGCAAGTTCATTCCATCTCCACACCGCAGGGGCCGAGTGTCAGATGTGTCCAGTGAGCCCGGGTGTGTACCTGCTGAGGGTCCTGTCCGCTGGGTGGTCCTCAGCGGAGTCGTCTGATTCCGTCCCTAGGTGCCGCACGCATGACGTCCCCAGCGCCGCTGCCTGCGCCGTCTCCACTGGATTTGGGAAGGGAAAACCCGTCGACCCGGCCTACTGCTCTTCGTGAGGAGCCGGGCTCCACGGGACATTTGCATGTTCCCCCCCCCGGGACCTCCAGGGAGAGTGAGTCCACCTTCCCTGGAGGCCCGGTCACGATGGCTCGTTATAAAACTCTTCAGGTTTCGTGATCCCCATGCACACACACTCCCACACCCTCGGTTGGTTGTCACACTCGGTCAGCCGTATCGGTTATTGGCTGAACCTAGCCCTTATTGTGCTTGCGGGTGTTCATATTCTTAGTTTTTTCGGTAAAGTCACGTTGAAGGGAAACAACAAAATAATAAAATATATATAAAACAATAAAAAATTCTCACGACGTTTCGACCATAATTCAAACGGTCATCTTCAGGTGTGTTGATTTGCATAAATGTATTTTTAAACGGCGCATTTATTTATTTATAAAAACGTTAGCGCCACGCGCAACGATTTGGCAGTTTATTTAGGACTAGTCCATCTATATTCTGAAAAGAGGAGGGGGGAGACGATTTTTTTTTATATATATAATGTATGCTGTCTGAAAGCCACTGTAAGCATGAACAATCAATTAAGACCTGAAATGGTTTATCAAATCTTTCCAATGATTGCTAAGATAGAATCCATCTTCTCGGTTGAAATTGTCTCTGTGCTTGTATATGTGGATAGCCTCATGAACGAATCTCTCATGGAAGCCAGATGGCTTACAAAGAACCTCTGTCTTGGAAAAGTCAATGGCATGTGAGCCTACTGAATTAGAACAATGATCTGCCACGGCCGAGGTGTTGGTCCTACCGTGTTTAAGGTCTGCTTTGTGTTCACGAATGCGGTCCGAGACATGGCGTTTGGTTTCTCCAATGTAACTACTACCACAGAGGCAACTTAGTTTGTAGACACCAGGGTATTGTATGTCCGGAATCACATCTTTTACAGACGGAACCAGATCACGGATTTTATGTAATGTGTTGAAACGGACCTGAATCTTGTGTTTATTCAAGATTTTGGAGATCTTTTTTGTGATCCCCGCAATGTAGGGTAAAGTGATGGTTTTGAAAGGCTCCTCAAGAGGGTTCTTCTTCATGGTTTGAGTGATAGCTTTGCGGATTGTATAGTCGGAGTAACCATTAGCCCTAAGAGCTTGGTGTACGTGCTTGAGTTCACTGCTTATGTGTTCCTGGTCGGATATGCATTGGGCTCTATGATACAGAGTCTTGATGAGAGAATTCTTCTGTGATGGATGGTGGTGGGAATCCGGTTTCAGATAAGCATCCGTATGGGTAGCTTTCCTGTAGACAGAGTGGCTCATTGAACCATCAGGTCTCTTTTTAATTAGGACATCCAAAAAAGGTATCTTGCCATCTATTTCGACTTCCATGGTAAATCTGATGGCTGGGTGTATGGAATTGATGTGGTCGAAGAATTGGTCTAGAGCAGGCCGGCCATGTGGCCAGATGACAAAAGTGTCATCCACGTACCTCTTCCATAAGGTTGGGTGCAGAGTGGCAGTCTGGATGGCGTCAGTCTCAAATTTTTCCATGAAAATGTTAGCTATAACTGGAGAAAGGGGGGAGCCCATTGGGGTGCCCTCAGTTTGTTTGTAGAAAGTTCCATTCCAAGTGAAGTATGTATTGGTTAAACAGTGTCTCACCAGGGGGGGTACCTCAGTGTTTAGTCCTTGATGAACCAAGTCTTCAATGATTGCAATGGTGTCAGGTACAGGAATCTTGGTGAATAAGGAAACTACATCAAAACTGACAAGCAGGTCGTCTGGGGACAGGGAAATACCCTTGATTGTCGATACCAGGTGAGTAGAATTTTGTACCGCAGAGGTGGTCTTTCCAGTGAAAGGACGCAGGATTTCAGACAAAAAACGAGCTAGTTTGTAGGTGGGGGAGCCGATAGTAGAGACTATGGGACGAAGGGGTGTATCTACTTTATGTATTTTTGGTAAGCCGTATAATCTTGGTGGCCTGGCAGCAGAAGGTTTCAACGAAAACTGTTTAGATTGATCAATTAATGCGGTTGAATCAGAAATTATTTTGTTGGTTTGTGTGACGAGGCTGTTGGTGGGATCTCTTTTTATTTTTGTATAACTACCATCGTCGAGTAATTCTTTAATTTTGTTGTTGTATTCTATTTTATCCATGATGACAGTAGCATTGCCTTTGTCAGCTGATAATTCAAAACGCTCATCTTTGCTGAGGTTGCTAGCTGGCATCTTAGCGTTTTTGAGGGTTGCAGCGATTTCAGATCTTGCTACGTCTGCAGCGATGTGACCCAGGCCCCTGAGAGCAACGTCTACTTGGGCAATTATATCATTAACTGGTATGTGTTTAGGTGTGACTGCAAAGTTTAGACCTTTAGCTAAAACGGATTTCAGACCATCGGAAATAGAACTGTTACTGCGATTAATTACGACTTTGTTAACGTCTAGTTTTTTGGTGTGTGGGTCCGGTCTTTTGTTGAAGAGGAGGTTAAATTTGGAAATCAGGTTTTCCTTACATTTGGTCGACATAGTAGCAGCTGAAGAGGCAGTCATATTGTCTACATGTTCCCAATCCGATGTGGACATTGTTGCCGTCAATGATAAGTGTGATTTGTAGAGTGTCTTGTCTAACTGATCTAGTTCGGTGCGTATAAGTCTGATTTTTTCTGAGATAAGAGCTAAGCTAGTTTTGAAAAGAATTCGTTTCGCATTAGAAGAAGTTACAGCAGCAGAGGTCAGTGTAAATGCGATTGGTATTACCCCAGAGTCGCGGCATCTCTTCAGGAAGGTGAGAGACTCGATCAGCTGAGCTTTCTTATCCCGGAGTTTGTTGAAGGATCTTAAAGTTATGTGAAAACCCTCCCCGTAGAGGCGATTAAATTTTGATTTAAAGCTTTCGTGACTGCAGTAATTCATATTCTTAGTTTTTTCGGTAAAGTCACGTTGAAGGGAAACAACAAAATAATAAAATATATATAAAACAATAAAAAATTCTCACGACGTTTCGACCATAACTCAAACGGTCATCTTCAGGTGTGTTGGTTTGCATAAGATTTACCATGGAAGTCGAAATAGATGGCAAGATACCTTTTTTGGATGTCCTAATTAAAAAGAGACCTGATGGTTCAATGAGCCACTCTGTCTACAGGAAAGCTACCCATACAGATGCTTATCTGAAACCGGATTCCCACCACCATCCATCACAGAAGAATTCTCTCATCAAGACTCTGTATCATAGAGCCCAATGCATATCCGACCAGGAACACATAAGCAGTGAACTCAAGCACGTACACCAAGCTCTTAGGGCTAATGGTTACTCCGACTATACAATCCGCAAAGCTATCACTCAAACCATGAAGAAGAACCCTCTTGAGGAGCCTTTCAAAACCATCGCTTTACCCTACATTGCGGGGATCACAAAAAAGATCTCCAAAATCTTGAATAAACACAAGATTCAGGTCCGTTTCAACACATTACATAAAATCCGTGATCTGGTTCCGTCTGTAAAAGATGTGATTCCGGACATACAATACCCTGGTGTCTACAAACTAAGTTGCCTCTGTGGTAGTAGTTACATTGGAGAAACCAAACGCCATGTCTCGGACCGCATTCGTGAACACAAAGCAGACCTTAAACACGGTAGGACCAACACCTCAGCCGTGGCAGATCATTGTTCTAATTCAGTAGGCTCACATGCCATTGACTTTTCCAAGACAGAGGTTCTTTGTAAGCCATCTGGCTTCCATGAGAGATTCGTTCATGAGGCTATCCACATATACAAGCACAGAGACAATTTCAACCGAGAAGATGGATTCTATCTTAGCAATCATTGGAAAGATTTGATAAACCATTTCAGGTCTTAATTGATTGTTCACGCTTACAGTGGCTTTCAGACAGCATACATTATATATATAAAAAAAAATCGTCTCCCCCCTCCTCTTTTCAGAATATAGATGGACTAGTCCTAAATAAACTGCCAAATCGTTGCGCGTGGCGCTAACGTTTTTATAAATAAATAAATGCGCCGTTTAAAAATACATTTATGCAAACCAACACACCTGAAGATGACCGTTTGAGTTATGGTCGAAACGTCGTGAGAATGTTTTATTGTTTTATATATATTTTATTATTTTGTTGTTTCCCTTCAACGTGACTTTACCGAAAAAACTAAGAATATGAATTACTGCAGTCACGAAAGCTTTAAATCAAAATTTCTTGCGGGTGTTGTTACACGGTGAGGGTGGGAGATGCTGGCGATGAAAGGGGATTCCGAGCATTCGCAGTTCACTGCACTCTTTATTCTTTTTCTCTCTCATGTTGTTCTGTACTCACACCCTTTTCCCCGTTGTTAATGTACATTTGTAGGTAGTATAAATATTGTATAGGTGGGTTTGGGCATTTAATTGATAATGTTGTTATTTGTTGAGGCACACAGTGTTTAATCACTTTTTAATCACTTTTTATCACCTTACTCACTTAGTTCGTTTTAAGGGGGCGTTGACAGCTGGGACGGCTGAGTGCTACGAAGAGGGGGGTGATGTAGTGACATCTCAGATGTCACTGTGTGGTGACGGCCCTAGAGAGGCACGGCGTGCAATGTACTCAAATCGCGGACATCACGTATGTAGCGACATCAAGAATGGCGCTGAATAGTGCCGGCTCTAGCAAGGCACGGCGTGCGATGCATTGTCATCGCAGACACCCCGTAGGTGGGTGTAGTACCAGCCCTATAGGGGGCTCGGTGAGTGCTGAGATAGCGCAGTGACACCACGCGTGGCGTGCAGTGCTGACTCCTACAGGAGTGTGAGAGTGTCAGCCATGGGATGAGGTTACCCTCAGCCACGGCACTCTGGTTGACCCTGGAAGGCACGTGTAAGGTAACATCTACACAGGGGCCCCAGGCGGGGGCTAGGGGGTGGTCACGTGTCAGGGTGAGATCCTACGGGAAGGGTCGAGAAACGACAAGAGGTTTCTCGAAGGTGGTCATGGCCAAGGGCGGGGCCAGCCACGACCCGGGAGCATATAAACCGGTACCCCACAGGGACCGGGGCTCTGTGTTGCTGTTGTCATCTACCTTCTACGTCCAAGAGAAGAAATCACCAACACATGGACGAGGACCCAAGCCAGGGTCCTGTCCACTGTAGCTACTCCCAGTAACTAGCGTAGTTAGCCTGGTGGTCCACCACCATAGGTTTTCTGGTAAAGGGGCAGTAACCCCTTTGTGTTAATGTGTTGGTGTAAATAAATGTGTTGCCTCCACGAAG